AGCTGATCTTCATGAGGCAAGTCAAGTCACAGCTGATCTTCATGAGGCAAGTCAGGTCACAGTTGATCGTCATGAGTCAAGTCAATTCATAACTGATCTTCATGAGTCAAGTCAGGTCTCAGCTGATCTTCATGAGGCAAGTCAAGTCACAGCTGATCTTCATGATGCAAGTCAAATCACAGTTGATCGTCAGGAGTCAAGTCTAGTCACAGTTGTTCTTCCTGAGTTCAGTCAAGTCACCGTAACAGTTTTAGACTCAAAATTGGCAGTTATTTTTTGTTCCGCCAAAACAGTACTAAACAGCCAGTGCACAATTAACCATAATGTGACTCTGAACAACACACACAGGTGCTTCATTCCTTTATGAATCAGTGTTTTTGAACGAATCGGTTGAATCAATGACTCCTTGACTCACTCATTAAGACAGTCACTTGATTGGCATATCAATGTATTCTTCAAGAAAGAGTCAATACACCACTAATGCACAGATTGACAGCCTGTATAAAAAGTCATAATTTCTGTTGTACTGTATAACTGAATACAAAATTACTGTAATTACTGAATACATACTAGCATACTTAAAAATATTTTTTCTCTAAATACGCCATTCAGCCGCACTCTTAAAAACAAGAGTTCTTATTTGGCACCTCTGGTTCCATGAACAACCTTTCACTTCCATGAAACCTTTCCATTCTACAAAAAGGTTCTTTATAGTGGAAGAATGTTATTCAGAATTATAAAATGTTTTTTACACTAAGAAAGAAGTGGTTCTTTTGAGAACTGTTCACTGAAAGGTTCTTTGGGGAACCCAAAATGGTTCTTCTGGCATTGCTTCACATTTGAGAACTGGAACTAACTGTTGTATAATGTGGGATTATTTCTTATTTTTTGCCATTCAGTGGAAATACTACACCTAATTAAGCAAATGTTTGCATGCCTGTTCATAGAATTGTAGTGATCGCAATAACTTGTCATGGAGGACAAATTAATTTAAATGGATGTTTAATTCAGAAAATCGTTTAATGACCGATCTCATTAAGATAAGTACATAACTTCTTTACTTTTAGGAGGCTGAATGAGTTTGAACATGGATTGCTATACCGAGGGTAGTCTAAACTCAGCTGCGTGACTGACCCAGGCACTGGATAGCACCCATTACAGCCCCAATGAGAGCCAGCTGCAGCTCATCAGCACAGGACACCTGAGCTCAGCCCTGCTTGGACATACTGCCCTTTACACACAATAACACTGGTGCACACAGACGCACAATGTTACGTACATGCACATGCATGCATAGGCTTCTCAAGGACACCATCTAACGTGGTTTTGGGAGTTATTGTTGGCGTTAATATGACAGGAGCACAAAGAGTTACTATCCTTGTACGAGACAGGGAGACAAGAAAGATGAGCGATGGCATATATTTTCTTCTTTCTCACCTCTCCAGGGTGAGCTCAGATCAGAACACCTCCTCCTCCCCCATGAATTGGGATCAGGTGGGGATCAGCTGGACCTTCGAGAAGGGGGGCAGAGGGTTTATGTGTGTGTGTTTTGGTAGTGGTGCTGATGAGCAGAGGAGGGTAGGGTGCCAGGCCGGCCGGGGGCCAATGTTGCACCTGTGAGAGATCCTGGAGGCAAATCTGGGTGTAGATGCATGGATATGATTGGAAAGGTCCATCGTTGCACCTGCACAGAGACGATTGAAGAGTTTGACAAGCCCAGAAATAAAAAAATAAAAAAACAACAACCTAACTTTGGCTTTCATGATACATCCAAGAAGTGTGCTGGATGTGTGGCTGCACTCCTGGGCGGAAAGAACGAATTGGTCAGTCCTTTCCCCCCCAAGAACAATCTTTGAGGTGTAAATAACTGAGACAAAGAGGGAGTTAAGAGAGTACCCAACATCTTTCTCCCTTTTTGCTTTTCTCTGTCTCTCTCTTTTTCCCTCCCACTTCGTCTCCAGGGACTATACCAGCCTGGCTTGAACTGGACACCATCTGCTATAATGTGACAGAATGGAACCCCCAAATACTTTCATTTAATTCTGCTTTGTGAGTGTGTGTGTTTGTTTGTTTGTGTGCACATGAGAAGAAAGCTATCACTGAAAGGTTCTTTGGGGAACCCAAAATGGTTCTTCTGGCATTGCTTCACATTTGAGAACTGGAACTAACTGTTGTATAATGTGGGATTATTTCTTATTTTTTGCCATTCAGTGGAAATACTACACCTAATTAAGCAAATGTTTGCATGCCTGTTCATAGAATTGTAGTGATCGCAATAACTTGTCATGGAGGACAAATTAATTTAAATGGATGTTTAATTCAGAAAATCGTTTAAT